GTATTTCCCTCTTAACGTATATATACTGAGAGGTTACTTTAATGCCTTTTATAGGGATTAAATTATTCTTGTGTGGTAGCGAAAAGGGTAACGTGCAACCTTAATGATCCTAGGGTAGTCGATAGGATATAAATAAGCCATTAATATCTAGATTATAATCAGGTTTATGTTGTCTCCACAAGTTTGCTGGGGGTTGAGGGCTCTGTGTGTGTGATTACGTATTGAAGATTGTATCAGCTCCTAGACCTCAGTAGGGTAGCATTGCATTTTATCTGCTAAAGCAACATAAAGGCTTAAGTCATTGATCTGGGGAGGCTGTGTGGACTTGTCCAGAGAACGCAGGGAGAAGGTCCGGGCCGGGAGATTATACCGGCGAATCTACTACTTACCTTCCTGTCCAGAGCTATGTGACTTTCTTAGTGAATCTCATTAAATGGAGTATTTGATAACATAGCTTACTCAATAAGCTCTGAGGACTGTATAATTTTGGAAGCAGAGTTAGAAGTTGTAAGGAAGGAGGGTCCATTTTTCAAGAAGGAGAATAAGGAGTTAAAAATTAATTTGGATAAGTAAGGGAAACTAATGAAAAGTAATTTCGAAAGTGGCAAAAGTTGAAATTCAGAAAGGTTTAAGCGGGGTTGAAGAGCGGAAATCACTTCGCCGCTCTCCAGGATGAGTGTACAGTTATTGACAAAGAGACAGGAAGAACGAATGTCTCAACAAGTTAAAAAGGACATAATTAGTGTCAGAGACTGCTAAATGAGACACATAGACAGGGCATTGTGTATCAGGAATAGGAAGGTGAGACAGAAGGTGTTTCATCAGTTAACAGGTTGAATAACATCATGTCAGATAATGAGAATAACCACATTATCTACTTCAGTGCAGGAGGCAACGAGTTTTTTGGGAAACACGGGAGAAAAGTTGTTGGCCAAGGACAAGACGGCTATTGATCTAATTAGGTCAAAGGAAGGGATCCCGATCATATATAGCATTTTGCCTGAGAGGAGTGAGTAGTGAGTTGATGTTTAAGGCAACTGGTGTTGGAATATGCCTGCCAAATACAACATTCAAAGGTTTAAATTGTTAAACAGTGACAAAGAACATGAATCGGGGGCGATGTGGCACTCTGTATCAAAGAAAAGTTTAAGTGGCGAATAAAAACAAACCTGCAAGTTTAAGGAGCAGACGCGGAATCTCTTTGGGTAGAACTTACAGGACATGAAAAGCTTATTCTAGATGTGCGGAAGACCGGCATAAATGTGAAGGACGGCCTGTGTTAAAAATAATAATAATAATAATAATAACAATAATAATAATAATAAATTTAAGTTCTAAACCCACAAGGGTCATACAGCACTGCTGGGAGAAATGTGCTAAGGTTAGGAGTAAAGGGTAGGGGTGAGTGAAGGTAAGGGTTAGTGGTGGGGGTTAGTTCAAGAGCAAAATAAAGTTGGTGCAGTTGGCTAGTTGCCATTAAAAAAGTCAGTCATCAAAAGTGGGACTTTCAAGTGAGGTCACTGTGTGTTGGGGGCAGTGATGTCGGAAATGAATTCTGCATACCCGTTAATAGAGGGGACAATCTATTAAGATATGGTGAACTGGCAGCAAGACCTGATAGCTCTCACAAGAGCGGTGCTAGTAATTTATGTGGCATCTGTGAGTGAGTCTCGCGTGTCCGATATGTAAGCGTAAGTGGTTTCCCAGACAAAACAGCTGTGGGAAGAGGGCTAGAACCCTAAATGTGATTTTGACAGAAAACAGTTCGTTGTGATCCAACTCGCATTAACTTCAAACATAAAAGAGTGAGAGGGTGGTTTTAAGAAGGACCTGCCTATTATAAGCCGGTAGATCTACCGCAGCGGTCCTCCGTTCTTGTTATATTTGCCGGGATGGGAGAAATGTCAGCACTAGCTTTTGGTCCCTCTTAACTTTCGACCAACTGAAATAAAACAGTCCTGTCATATCGAGTTTTTAATCATTGCATGGCGTCCACCTTCACTGTATGATTGGTTATCTCATTCCACTTTTTCATTACTGCATGCCTGGTAAGACCAATTTCATTATTTACATAGTTTATGCCCCATAATACTTTGTCGCGACCATGTCCCTCTTGTACTTCGCTCCTCCAGTTACATAAGGCCTAACTCGCATTCTTTATTCGTGGATCATTCCCCTCACTTCAGACACCAGTTTGTATGTACGTAGGCGAAGGTGACTTATGGATGAGTGTTGGCGCCACTATTATCACACTGCGCCATGTTGTGGGCAAGTTGCCCACACCAAGGTGCCTTATTTCCTCTGCTCACCTGAAGTGCTTCCTTTGACGTGCATACTATGTTGCTACATAGTATGCACGCCAATTGGTTCTTCTGTAGTCTTGTTTAATATGGTTTTATCCCAATTGCTACCTGATTTTTGTCTTGTGAACGCGTGAAGAGTGGATGCTGAAACTATAAATAACGATATCTTTATCTGAGCCTTGAGCCTTGTCACTAGATAACAGCAGAACTAAACGAAGCTATGAGAGAGATACGGTTTCTGAGAGAGGAATAAAACTTTCATAAGAATATGTCTGTGCTAAGATGACAGATAAATAAAAGAGGAAATTTTTAAAAAATACAAATTTTATCTAGGAAAATGCCATATTTTTCAAATGGAATAAATATATGTTATTATAAATGTTAAAACCGATACAAACATCACAGTATTGGCTCACGCAATCGTAATGACACGATTGCAAACAAACCATACCACGGGTGGGGTTTGAACCCGCGGTCAGAGTCTAAAAACTCCAGACCGTCGCGTTAGCCACTGGGCCAGCTAGCTTCAGTAAGTTTTATCCAACTAGGTATATTTCTACACCATAGGAAGGTTAGCATAGGCACCACTGTGACCACAAATGCAAGTTTTTACAGACGAATCTCTTGCTAGCGTGGCCGTGACGAACTCTAGCTCAGTTCCCTTCAAAGCCGTCAACATGACTCACGAAATCATAATGACACCATTGCAAACAAACCATACCACGGGTGGGGTTTGTGGCTACAGTGGTGCCTATGCTAACCTTCCTATGGTGTACAAATAAACCTAGTTGGATGAATCTTATTGAAGCTAGGTGGCCCAGTGGCTAACGCAACGGTCTGGAGTTTCAAGACTAACCGCGGGTTCAAACCCCACCCGTGGTATGGTTTATCACAGTATTGGGTTAGGTTAGGTTGTGTTGTTGCGCAGATTCAGGTTGTTTTGCGCAGATTTAAGTTGTGTTGTTGGGCAGATTTAGGTTGTGTTGTTGAGCAGATTTAGGTTGTGTTGTTGAGCAGATTTAGGTTGTGTTGTTGAGCAGATTTAGGTTGCGTTTAGGTACGTTAAATGGTTGAGGTTAGGCTTACCTCAGGATTTATATATTTTTTTCCCTGTGAATTTTGCACCTATGACTTGTTCTAAAACCTGCTAGCAGTTGATGTTCACACAAAACCATTATATATTAAAAATTCATTACAGCCTACATTGGGAAAAGAGAAGAGAATGTATCTGCTGCGAACAAGTATCATGTTGAAGATGTGCGAAACGTTTATCTAAACTTCAAAAAGTTTTTTTTTTTGTTTAATGTTTCAGCATATTAAGGCCAGGGCGAAATAGGCTGTCAGAGGCGCACCTCGCCCTCTGCAATACTTATTATGCATGATACTCATTACATAAAACATATGTTAAGGAAAGATTGTTATACAACTTTTCAAATATATTGAAGCTGGGAGGACATAATGATAATTTAATAAAAGAGATGGATGTTTCTTTACGTAAGGATGTGATTATTTAAGACAAAATTACTTTTCCAACAAGTGGTTAATAAGAAAAGACTAATCATAGTATTTAACGATTATCATTAACTCATTCTTGAAGGTGATATATTTTTTATTCTTAATGAGTGTTTGAGTAAACTTCATTTTTAATTATCTTCGTGCAGTCGATTGGCCTTAAACTTAACAAAGTAACTAACTACTTTATTTCACTGGTCATAGGGCACATCCACATTATAATGTTATCTTGTATCTTTGTAAGTATATAAAGTGATGTCATTCTTGCACTTTACTTACTTTGAGTATACATTGAGGGTGTTCTGGAGGTCACCGTCCCCGCGGCCCGGTCCATAACCAGGCCTCGTGATGGATCAGGGCCTGATCAACCAGACTGTTACTGCTGGCTGCACGTAAACCGACGTACAAACCACAGCCCGACTGGTCAAGTACTGACTTTAGGTGCCTGACCAGCACCCTCTTGAAGACAGCCAGGGGTCTATTGGTAAACCCCCTTATGTATGCTGGGAGGCAGTTGAACAGTCTTGGGCCGTGACTCTTATTGTGTTGTCTCTTAGCGTACTCATGATGGCCCTGCTTTTCATTGAGGGGATGTTGCACCGCCTGCCGAGTCTTTTGCTTTCATAGGGAGTGATTTCCATGTACAGATTTGGGACCAGTTCCTCTAAGATTTTCCAAGTGTATATTATCATGTATCTTTCTCTCCTGCGTTCCAAAGCGTACTAGTCAAGGGACTTCAACCGTTCCCGATAATTTAGGTGCTTTATTGTACTTATACATGCAGTGAAAGTTATCTGTATATTCTCCAGATCGGCAGTTTCGCTTGCCTTGAAGGGGCTGTTAGTGTACAGCAATATACCAGCCTAGAAAGAACAAGCGATTTGAAGAGAATCATCATTGGTTTGGCATCCCTAGTTTTGAAGGTTCTCATTATCCATTCTATCATTTTCGTAGCAAATGTGGTAGAAACATTGTTGTGGTCTTTGAAAGTGAGATTCTCTGACATTATCACTCCCAGGTCCTTCGCATTAGTTTTTTCGCTCTATGGTGACTAATATATAAAATACGGAATTTAATACGATGTACCTACGGCTATAACTTACAGAAATGTTTACTAATTAAAATTTGAATATTTTGCAAATAGTCTGGGTAAATAAGTTGATATATATATTTGGTGTATTACAGAGGAAGTGGAGAGCGGGGAGGCACTGCTTGTGATGGAGAAGTTGAAGAGTGTCTTACATAGGGGAGTAGAACGGTACCTCAACTATGAAGCTTTCCTCATCTCCCGCACCACACTACTCAGGTTAGTTTACAAAAATGAAAACCACAACTAACCTACCAATTGGAAATAGAAGCGCAAGAAAGTTCTGTTCAACCTGTGACTCGAGAGTTGATAATGGTCAAGGATGGACCGAAACTTCGTATAATTTACATTTCCAGCTTATGTGTTAGTCGTGAGTTGGTCCAGCCAGGGTATTGTGACTATTATTCTTCTAAAATACAATACTACAATACAGTACTGCAACAATATAATAATCCACATATACAGTACTTATTAAGTAAACACAGTAAACTAAAATACACTTATTTACTAGGTGTACCTCTTTTGATTTAGTCAAAATAAGGTTATGTTAGACGACTTCTCCTCAACGGATTTTTGCCATTAAGTATGGCTTGACTTGTACATTGTTAAGTCAGATTTATAGCTGAAATATTTTGTTGTGTAATGGTAAAACAGAAACGTAATCTAATGAAACTCACCTAGCCCAGCCTAAAGTAACGTTAACCTTACTCCGCCATCTTTGCTTACGTTCAGTCAGACACCTAACACAATATTATGCGTTGTCTCACGTGCCATCCAACCAAAATAAATGTCATTTTTGCTAATATCTCCCAAAATAACAATTTGCTCAAGAAATACTTATTTCGTGGTGTACATAGGTGTACAGTATTGTAAAATGTAAACTAATGCCTGAGTTCTACCGAGTAGTAGTTGGAAATTTTAGCCCGAAATAATAACCAACAGTGAAGACTTGACCTCACAATGCTGCCCAAATTAAAACCTCTTACGAGTAACACTTGGCATTCCTAGTACGTCAGTATGTATTTACGGTATACTATATTAACCTTCTGTTTTGTAAATTAAGTTTTTAAGGGCCTTTTTTTATGCTATACACAAAATTTTGTGTGGATATATTAATATTCACAAAATTTTATGTGTAAATATATAAATATATATATACATATATAAATATATATATAAATATATATATATATATATATATATATATATATATATATATATATATATATATATATATATATATATATATATATATATATATATATACTTGTTTAATATAATACTCACAATTATATTTGTTAATGTTGCAAAAATATTGCAGCATTATACTTATTTTTAAGTATAACATTCAAAAAATATTTTTCGAAAATATTAAAATGTTCAAAAAAAATATTTTTAATATAATATAAAAAAAGGTCACTGAAAAAAATAAATTTACTAAAACCCTGAACGTATAAATGGATACTACCTTGAGGTTGTTCCGGGGGTCAACGCCCCCGCGGCCAGGTCCTCGACTCTGGTCGAGGACCCAGTGGATCAGGGACTAATCAACCAGACTTATTGCTGGCCGAATGCAATCCAGCCTACGAGCCACAGCCCGGCTGATCGGGCACTGACTTTAGGTATTTGTCCAGTTTCTCGTGAAAACAGCGAGGGGTCTATTGGTAATTCCCCTTATGTATTATGGGAGCTGTAATACCAAACCTTGATAATAAGTATTTTAAGTTGTAGCAGCGGGGCTGGGTTATACACTTCACTGTTGGTTGTTATTCATAATGTTTCAGTAGTTTGTATTTTAGAGTGTACAAATATATATATTTTTAAATGGAAGAGGTTGCTTTTATAAGAGAAAACTGTATAGTGCCATAACGTGGCATGTGTGCAACACATGATAGGGATAAAGTTCGCATTGTTTACCTTACTATCTTCGTGAAGTTAAATAAAATTACATAAATATTTTTTTTCTATGACTGGCAGGACTGAAATACCAAGCGCAAATTAGAATGCTCTCAGTAAACAAGAAGTCTTTATAATCAGTTCATAATTACAAACTCAGTATAGTAAAGCAACTTATTTTTTTTAAGATTTTGGATACACAAAATATATCTTGGTGCACATTCCTTCAAGGGCGGTATATTAAAGGGCTTATGATCTGAGGAACTGGAGGTAATCTCCCAATTCTCGGAAGAACCTTATTATCTCCCATTCCTTAGGCACTGTATGACCCCTGCTGGTTATCCACTTTACTATTAATATAATAATAATAATAATAACAAATATAATAATGTAATATAAAATAATAATAATAATGCACAATAATTGGGTAGAAATTTATATAAAGTTGTGTGTGTGTGTGTGTGCAGGGCTGCCCATGACGTGTTGAGGCTGAGTTGTGACCGTCCTCTGGGACTCCGCAGTGCTCTGGTCGAACTTTACCTTCATGATGGATACTCCTCAAAGCGGTAAGAATTTTACTTGGAAATAAGTAATGCTCATGTTTTTCGTACACGAAAGCGTAATAAACATTGGTCAAAGGCACTAAGAACAAAATCCACAAGAAAAAATTAGGAAGATTACTGTGTATTTTGGTCTACTAATGAGGACCTCTTCAGTTTGAGGAAGAGGGCTTCAGTGTGACACAGAAATATAGAGTGATCATCTTACCTTGTTTTATTTTATCCATATATGCATTCATAAACTTTCGTACGCAGCACTTTTTTACTGAGAAGATACATTTTCATTTTCCAGCTTACATTATGCATAAATGTCGATTATACTAAAGTAACAAGCATGAAAAGTATTTTACATATATTTAAGATCTTATTGATTTAAAAGCTAATTTATTGTAGCTATTATAAAGTGGTTACAATTCGTTTGTGATGAAAATTGTTTTAATTGCAGGTTAGCGCAGGTTGTGGCTGACCCTCGTCAGGAGGTGAAGACAGTAATCAAACTGACCCTCCACCAGGACCACACCTCAGACTCGAACACACTGCACATCCAGTCTGGCTACACCATGGAGCGCCACTGTCTTCCTTGATCATTTCTATACAAGCCTCTTTTATTTTTATATACCATGAAGGTTTAATGATACGTTTGTGATTTCCTAAATGCTTCAAGGCATTAAGGTAGTACGTATTATCCTTTTTTATAACCGGGATGATATATTTCCATCTTCCAAGAGAGCCACAAGAGCAAGAGGAAATTATCCACCAGAAGTCGGATCTCTAGGTGAGCGAAAATGAGCTTAATGGTAATATGATAAACCAAGTACAACAAATTCTCAAGCAGTAGCAAAGCCTGGAGGTGAAGTATGTGTATTTCAGACCACCAAATGTTTCATCTCCAACTTTTGCTATGAATTAAGAGGTGTACAGAGAATCATCTCAGGGCACTATAAGAAGTGTTGAGTGTATAGTGTGCTCGAGGAAATCTGGCAGTCCTTGCTGGGTCCAAGAGAGCATTTGTCTCATAAAGTGCCTTCACCTGGTCCATGGCTTGGGGACACCTCTAGTACTTAACACAATTTTATTCTTATGTGATAAAATGCAAATACTAGCCCAAAAATTTCGATACTTTTGACGTAGTCATGAGGCTAATATCGATTACTATTCCAAATACTACTGCTGTACTTAACCTCAATAGCATGTGTTCCCAACAAGCACAAGTTATTTTTCTCAGTGAAGTAAAAGTTAAAAATATACAACTGTCTATAAATTGAATTTATATTCAGCGTTTTGAGAATACAATACGTTAACTAGGCCCTCTTTTTCTCTTATTGTTTTTTGAAGAATTATGCGAGTGTTATACGAAGAAAATCTTCCTAATGTTTTATGCCCTCTTGTATGTGAACCGTCCTCTTTATTTTTAAGCAGCTAATATGCATTTAATATCACCATGTTTTCCATGTATGACAGTTACTTTGAAACTACCACAGCACAGTTTATTAAGCCAGAAACTGGGTAATGGCAGCGGTTCATCACCTGAGCGTGGAGGTTTATGGGGCAAATTGGCAGTATTCTGTGAAGGTACTTAAATTTATATAACCCACCATGACCTGCCCTGATACAGTAACTGGCAGCACGCTGCCCATGTGGCTCCTTCACGCTCCCTCACTTGGCCTATTGTTTGTCAAGATTCCCACCAGAAAAGCCCTCCTCAGTCTGATTACATAAAAATATGAATTTTTTTTTTTATTGGAGAGGAGTGAGCATAACATAATCACAAAACTTGAGGTATTATATTCTTCGTCAATTGTTAAGTCCCTTAGCAGAATCAGGTAATTAACTTGTCAAACTTATAATGGAGCTTTGATAATGGTAATTTTATTTGTAAAAGTTGCGTTAGCAGTGTGTGAGGTTGGAAGGGCTACAATAAATTTTAGTTTTTGCTAACTCTAATATGCATTTTACATAGTATTAGTTACCCGATTATTGTAACATTATGCTGTTTATATTACTGGTTACCTAAGTATCAGTTAAATTATATTTTTATCATACTCAAAGCTATGTTAAACCACGTTTTTTTTTTTGTACAATTTTAATCCAGACAATTGACATAGCATTGTAGATAACATAATCAATCATTTGTGTATAGGTCATCTTCACTAGTCATCCATATATACCTGTTGAGTAGATTCAGGGTTCATGAATGCAACGCTATCAGGAACACTCTTGTACGTGTGATCAATTGCTCAAATTATCTTTGTAGTTTCATCGCCATTTTTGTGATTAGTTTAAGAACTTTTGTATGCGGATATAAAAGAAAATTCAGCTATATATTTTTGTCTTTTACTACCCTTGAGAATTTGGTGTCGATTGTGTGGGCTTTGCATTAAACGACCTCACGCAGGTTTGAGACTTATTGTGAAAGTGGACCATAATCTATTATATGTGGAATATTTGAGTTAATATACAAGTGGCTTGCAGTCTTAATGACCGACTGGTAGTCAGTAGGGCAACTAAGCTGTGTCTCAGTGGTAGCACAATTACTAAGTGCCCAGGTGAAGCCCTGGGCGAGGCAAGACATACGAGCAATTCTCCTAACACCTGCTGCATCTGTTACTGAGCAGTAAACAGATACCTGGAAATTAGTGGACTGTAATCAGAAAAAAGTCTACTCACGTTACTTCTTACGGGATAAATCAGTAAACTGGCGGAAAGTCTGGGTGTAAAGACAACCTTGCAGTGAGTAAGACATTTTGAGACCTGCGTCAGCAGAAATTTTCCAAGTAAAATACTTCTCCACATCTGTACTCACCTGCAACTCTAATACAAAAATATTAATTCTCTGTATTCTTTCTAAATCTTATTTTATCCAAACTGAATCTATAGTTTAGAAATCTGAGTTAAATATTATAGCTTCTGATTTATGTCCCCGTTTCTAGGTGTAATTCACATGCGTACTCTTCTCTCTTATCCGCCCTCTTTCTACACGTCAGGAGTGTAGGCTTAGTGTTCTGTCCTCATACAGAACACGTCTTGATACAGAGGATTAACGCTTATGCTTTATTGACTGCATATTTTTCAACATATTTATGTCCATTTTTTAATCTTAGAATCAGAAACTGCCGCTTAATCTAAATGTTATAGACAACATTGGGACTAAATAAACTTCTTCAGTCTAAGCAGTATATTAATCTTATTACAAAGATGTTTTCACTGCTTCGCTGAGAGTTCTGGTTAGCAGTATCTGAAAACAAGTTTGTATCTTGCCCCAGGATTTTACACTTTTTCACATTGAAATTCCTGAAATTTTTCAGATTCAACATTAACTGGCCAAATGCAAGTCAGTGTTTGGTGAGTATGAACAATACAGACAATATGTGTCAAAACTGGGGTACATGTATAATATACATTCAAAGAACTTTAGGTTACCATTAACGGACATTATCTATAGTCTTTTTTTTTTTTTGAGGTTTATTTTCCCCTCTCTCAATACGATTTCAGACAATGTGTATATAGTCGCTCTAATACACACATACTAAGACCAACAGTAGTTTATAATATTACTTTGAAAATGTTCGCTCTTGGTGAGCACAGAATGTAAATGTTTGTATTCATGCCGTATTATGCTTAATGTTCATACTTCACATCTTGTTAATTACGAAAGCGTTGTATTTTTTCTCCCTCCTTGAAATCCCTTAGTCACCACAACGTAGCTTTCATGTGTAACTAACTTTTGGCCACATTCAAAAATGTTAAAACAATTATTAAGGAACAATCATTTATGAATCTGATGAATAAACATTATGTTAATAAGGAGGAAGGAATTGCACGAGCTTAGACCTGTTAGGCGACACACGCATACTCAAACTCCATAGTTGTCTATACAAGGTTTTTCCTGAAAATAATTACCAAGGAATGCAAGTGTTGTGTACCCGCAGTCGAGTCTCTGACGTCATCCGTGACGTCACAGGAAGCCACGGGATAACCAGGTGCGTAATACATGTACTCTCAAGTTGAGGATAAAATATGCAAGAAACACTTTGGACGGTTGTAATGAAGAAACATTTCTGTCCTACCACTTGAATCACTTCTACTGTAAGAGGAATGATCTCTCAATAAACAATATCTTAAGTGTTTGCTTGCGTCTTGATCTCAGCAGGAAGTCGGCTCGCGTCACTGGGTCCGGCCACAAGTGCGTTGTTGGTTAAGCAAGTTCTTTTATCTGCTCAAGGTGGTTCCACTGCCCCTAGAGTCTTTATTAAGAACGGAGATTAAGCTAGTTAAGTAGAGAGTTTTTTTTTTTTCCAGTAGGCCATGTTAAGGTACGTGATTTGAATTTTATGGCAATGCTATATATAGTTTTGGATAAAATATCTGGAAGGGAACTGTTACTAAAACACTGATTTTTTTTCTCATTCAAATATATAATGGCATAGAGTGACAAATACAACGTATATTATTAAGCACGTAGGAGGAACCGACAGTTAAATAATCCAAGGGACGGACACAATGAATGAGGCTTTATGAACGGACATATTAAATCCTAAAAGACCATTAGTGTCCTTACGTTAGGTTAGGTAAGGTTTGTCAGGAACAGGACAAGTGTTTCCTGATGCTGGTCTTATTCATATGATGACCCGCAGCTGGAGCTTTTGGTCATCTGACCGAAGTCTTCCACTGGCTTACCGGTTCACCCCTTTAAAAGTTATAGTTAAAATTACATCTATGAATTATTATGTGAGAAATTACCTGCATGAAGGTTTACAGGGTATTACCTGAATTATTAAGTGCAAGTAATTTATGCGAGTTAAACTGGCCTTAGTCACAGTAGGTCAGAGAACTGTCACTCCCTCGATGCCCACTCCATCACTACTCTCACAAAAAGCTAGACCTGACATTAAATTAATAATTACAATATTAAACATTAATACCAATATTGGTAAATTATAAAATAATGTGAACTGTATATGATTTGTCTTGCTGGGTACACAGAATATAATTATTGTACATAAATTATAATGGTATTAGAAAAGAAATTCGTATTACCACTTACCATTTAATTACTGAATGGATCACACCACCTGCCTGTAATCACCTGCCAACGGCTGGACTAGGCACACCTTCCTTGTGACATGAAAATTTCTCCCAAGGGCCAAACCTGCTCATTTTCAATACAATTATGTATATTCAAATTACACAGTGAAACTAATTTGGGAGATGGGATATTACATAATTTCCACACAACATCCATTACATGGTTTATAACTTTAAACCGGTGAGCACATACTGAACACCAAAATGTCAAGGACATAATCAAACATTAGGTTATTACACAATTACCTATAATCAAAACATTATTTGGAAAACATATAAACAACTATTACTGAAAAGTAATGAAAGTGATAGCTGAAACCAAAAATCACTAATCAAACTGAGAATGATACACTTGTCACTTGATCAAACGATATTTAGAAACCTCTTGTAATGGATAGTAAGGAAGTTGATTAGCTAAACAGAGGGAATCAAGTACTAAACAAATATGCACTTTTTCTATGGATTCAAGGAATATTTAGCAAATATAAATTTATAATAATAACAGGAGTGGGAACAAATTTAATTTTGGTAGGGTCGGGGCATATTTTACTTGTCTAAGCAAGCTTGGCTTGGCAAGCTTCGCAGGCCACACACTTTTGTAAAATGATGAATGCTTAAAAATATCTACAATTCAAGTCTACCATTTGTACACATAAAAAAATAACATATGCAACATTTGGGTATCTTTAATGAGGAAACGTTTCGCCACACAGTGGCTTAATCAGTCCATACAAAGGAGAATGGTGAAGAACAAGGAGTTTGAGGTAATCAGTCCCTCAGTCTTGAGTCGATGTGGTCAGTCCATTAATTTTGAAAAGAATACAGCATATCTGCGGAGAAGTAGCTTATATACTGTAGACAGGAGATGTGCAGCAGTAGTAGGTGGTGTCACATTTGTCCACTGTGGAAGTAGGTCGTGCCCAAGGGTTAGGCAAGTGAAGAATTCCTTGTATTAAGATCCACTGTGTGGATCCACTGTGTGTCGAAACATTTCCTCATTAAAGATACCCAAGTGTTGCATGTGTCTATTTAATAAATTTGTCGGTTCTCTGAACCATTCGTCTACATTCAGTCTGACATAGCAACATCTTGGGATCTTAATACAGGGAATTCTTCACTTGCCTAACTCTTGGGCACGACCTACTTCCACATTGGACAAATGTGACACCACCTACTACTGCTGCACCTCTCCTGCCTACAGTATATAAGCTACTTCTCCGCAGATATGCTGTATTCTTTTCAAGATTAATGGACTGACCACATCGACTCAAGACTGAGGGACTGATTACCTCAAACTCCTCCTATTCTTCACCATTCTCCTTTGTATGGACTGATGAATTCACTGTGTGGCGAAACGTTTCCTTATTAAAAATACCCAAGTGTTGCATATGTGTCTAATTCACCACGCACTGGTACAACCACAGACACCACACATTGGTACAACCAGATACCGCACACAGGTACAACAACAGACACCACACACTGGTACAACCAGACAACGAACAATGGTACACCACAGATACCACACACTGGTACAAATACAGACACTACACACTGCTACAACCAGACACCGACCACTGGTACAATCACAGACACCATACACACTAGTACAACTACAGACACCACACACTGCTACAACCACAGACATCACACACTGGTACAAACATAGACACCACACACTGGTACAACCATAGACACACACTGGTACAACCATAGATATCACACACTGCTACAACCACAGACATCACACACTGGTACAACCACAGACACCACACAAAATGGTACAAAACCCCAACACACACACTGGGACAACCACAACACCACAAACTGGTACAACCCTAAAACACACACTGGTACAACCATAGACATCACACACTGATACAACCATAGACACCACACACTGGTACAACCACAGACGCCACACGCTGGTACAACCACAGACGCCACACACTCGTACAACCATAGACATCACACACTGGTGCAACCACAGATACCATACACTGGTACAATTACAGACGCCACACACTGGTACAACCATAGACATCACACACTGGTACAACCACAGACACCACACACTGGTACAACCATAGACACCACACAATGGTACAACCACAGACGCCACACACTGGTACAAGCACAGACACCACACACTGATACACAGATGACACACACACTGGTACACAGATGACCACACACACTGGTACACAGATGATACACACACAGATTAACTTGGTGGCAC